CATTCTAGCGTCCCAGTCAGGGAGGTGCTGTGGGAATCCTGTGGCTCAGTTACTATGCTGCCTTAAAACCTCATTCAGGAACCAAAATTATCTCCTTTCTGTATTCATGGTTTCCCAAAATCACCCATTACAAATACAACTTTCATCTTGAGCAACCACAAAGCCTGGAAAAGTCCTGGCTCCTCCACCTTTGATTTAGGTACTTCATTTTACCAAACAGCTATAACTTCTTGCCCAGAGAGATTTACCTGACTTGTGCCACTTGTGCCACTTATGTTTTTTCTCACATTCAGATGAATAGGCCATTGTAGGAAAGATCTGAACCACTGAAAAAAAAATGTCTGTGCGATTGAAAAGAGATGCATTTATAGCAGAAAAATCCAAGTAAAACAGCATTAAATGCTGTTGCTGTTTGCTGCTATCTTGTTATCCAGGAGCAGCTATCCAACAAGATACTGGAGACAAAGCCATAAATATCCTCTGAAGCTTTTATTTTAATTACTGCTGGTATTCTGCCTTACTCAGGACACCTTTCAACTAGCTACCTTTGAAGTAAACAAATCACAAAAGATGGGTCAGCTAATACAGAAATCTGAGGATGAGTGCCAGCAGCTACATTACAGATTCCATGGGACACATCCGAGTTATCCCAGTGGGTCCAACTGAGCACCAGTTGGACTGTGGGAGAAGAGAAAACAGCCCTAAAAGAGCCCTGTGGCACAAGGTCCTCTGTGTAGGACAGCATCCACTCAACAGCAACTTCTCAACACCAACTTCTGGGATTAGTCTGAAAGGACCACCCTACAGATAAACAGTATAAATTTCCAAACTGAGATATTCTTACCTTAATGGTTTTACTTATAAAGAATTCATTTTCCAAAGAAAACCATTGCAGATTTTATTGGGAAAAGTTGTCTACACTGCCAAGTTATTTTGTTTTCTGTCTGTCTCACTTTTTTAAAAAACCCACACATCATGTCCTGCTAAAAGGCTTCCATTTCTTTCTCTTTGTCATGATAGTAATTCCTCATTTTAAACAGACTTTCAGAAAACAATCACGCTACAAAACTTAGCACAGCAAATCAGTCTGAGGTAGGTGTGTCATTGGGCCAGGAACAGTATGGAGACTTAATTTGTAAACTGGTTTCCACAGACATAAACTAAATATAAAAGGTCTTATTAACATAAGACATGTTAATAAACGATTCACCTAATTTAAATCAGCTTCTTTGCATCGTTGAGATTTAGGAATGTTTGTGTTGTTATGTACTGTTGTTGTGTTTTTTTTAATTTATTGCTTCCTGCATGGTCACTTGTAGAAAAAAAAAATAATCCAGCTGTTCTGCAGACTTCAGAGAAAGGAAAAGAAAGCATTTGCTTCATAACCAACATTCACCATAGGTAATAGGTACTTATTTACTTGCCTCAGATTTCCAGCTCTGAGTTATCCACAGAAAGCCACCCCCATTTCAACAGTAAGACAACAGCACTCTCGAAAATCTTAATTGAGATCAGCAAATCAAAACAGAAAAATTCATCAAGAACACAAATAGCTTTGCAGAAAATATTATGGTAAGTGAAGAAACATTTATTAACTCACAGAGACACTGTAATCTTGACCTCACTGAAACTGTTGCAGTTTGAGATCACTCTCATTCATACAGCACATGCCACAGACAAACCATTTTTTCCATTTTGAAGGACTCCAAGAGTACCCCAGTCCTCTCCAGGACAGTTCTACAAGGAACCAAGAAATTCTAACCCAAATATTACATATCCATGACCTGGATTTGGGTCATAACCATAACCATAACTCTCTGCTTTAGACATATTTCTATCTATCTAAAATTATCTTCTCTACCTTCCTCCACAAAACATGAAATCCTCCTATAGGTCATGTCCAAGGAAAGATCTAACACTTTGTTTTTTGCTAATATTTGCCAGGATAGGATTTTATTCATTTTGTATAGCCAGGAGATCAAAGTAAGTTACACATGTGGTTTGTGGATTCCTCTGAGAGCAGAAAAAGAAATCCAAGTGACCCTCAAACAAAGCATGGAAAAGAAATTAAAGGGGAAATGATGATATGGTTTTAGTTTGAATCCATTCTAAGCTAGAGAAAGTCATGGGAGCACTATATATATATATATTCTTAGCCCATTATAAATCCAAATCTTTAAAAAAATATTTTTAACTATCATATTAAGTTTTACAGATCTAGAGAAACCCTGAAACAAATGTTTCTAATCCTGTTCCTTCAATCAGCTAAAGTTATGCAGGCAAAAAATCTACAACCCAGTAGTTCTTAGCTATTTTCCATTGACCCATTGCCATTCCACTCTTTGGAATTCCCTATTAGAGCACCACAGACCTTATTTAACTACACAAACCCGCTACACCGATGCAGAAAATGTTCTACACTTTTTTGAAGCTGACATCTGCAAAGTCATATGCTCTTCTGTGTCTGTAACCTCAAAAAAAAAAAAAAACCCAAAACCCCAAAAGGAATAGAAAAAAAAATTCTTTGTTCTCAAACCCAGTAATACCTAATGCAAGGTTCAGGATGTTATACAGCTACACCTACCTTTTTTTGGTAAGACAAAATTAATTCTTACACATGATACCCATTATCAACTGGAAGATCTTCTGTACCAAAAAAATATTAAGCTTCAAGAATATTTAAGATATGCTTGTGTAACCAAGGCCACAGGTCTTTGCCCAAACTCCCTTTCTCAGGAACAGGAACAGGCTTAGGAACATTCGGGGACCAGAAAACAGATTAGATGTTCAAATAATTTATTATAAGTAACATCATTTTTTAATATATAGCCTGAATAAATGCTTCCATCTATATCACACCATCAAAGAATATCAAATATGAAAAATGTGGCTTTCTGGTAGAGCCATGTTATCACTTCAAGATTAATTGTTTTCTTTAATATGATAAATATTTCACAACATAGAACTTGCGTAATAATCAGCTCTTTAAAGACTGGGGTTTTTTTAATGTACTGAGTGTCAAACAGGGACATTTACGATGAAGTACAAAGTTCCACTAAGAGTTCTCAAAGAAGGAAAGATTAAATTGGCTTCCAGGGTCTGGTCAGCCATATAACTGTTTCTCTATGCAAGAGTTATTCCTCTTGCTAGAACTTTTTCTAGCAAGACTGTGGTCATACACAAATTAATAACTCAGTGTTGAGCTAATTTATTGAAATAACTCAAGTGAAAACACAAATATACCTAGAGGCTGAAATTATGCCTTGTAATTTCAGCTGCCAACACTGATATCCAACACTTTTTTTCCCTTTTCCTTTTTTAATTACAAGGAATATGTTTTGAAAAGTTTATTAAGTTAAGGAGAAGATGGCAAATGTTGTATTAAAAAAACCTGCTGCACACCAACCAACATTTCAATATCTTTGTCTCTGTTTCATGCTAAGGAGCAGTTTAGGCCTCCTATTAAAATAGTTATACACTCTTTTTTTGATATAAAGTTTCCATTAAGCAAATACTTGGCATTTGGATGTTTCTTTCTTGGTCTTGTGTTTTTCTACCTATGGATTAACAACTTCTAAAGGGACTGCAGAAAAAAAATCAAATAAAAATGTGGCTTAGCATGATGTCCTTGATTAGGTTCTGTAAAAGAGGAAATTAAGGATGACAGTCACAGTTTGCTACTCTATATTCAATTAGGACGGGCTTTTTGTGGCTGTGGTTCATGCAGGATGTGCAGTTATCTAATACAGCCCAATTCTGGCAGTAGAACAATTAGAATGCAAAGCATAACTTAAAACAGGCTCTGGCAATATTTCTTTCCCTTTGGTTGTGACATCTTCAGCAGACTTTAAACAGAAATCTTGAGATCATATCCTACCCTAACAACCCAAACCCATATTCTGAAATCAAATGCAGCTTTTAAAATATTTAACAATGTGAAAATTGAATATGATATGACTGAAGAAAGCAAGTGGAGAAGGGCTTTGATGCTTACACACATGTATAAAATCTAAAGAAAAAGAAATCCTATATTTAAGCATAACATCCTAAAACTGACCTCTGTTCTGTGGTGAGCTCAGGGCAGGCTCTGATGCCAACTAAGAGGTCAATAATGTTCCCTAGGTGCACAATGCTCACGCACACCAACAACAATATTAAATCTTGCACATCTCCCTTCCTTCGTATGATTCACTTTTAGCAAAGACTGTAAGAATCTGGCTGGGTTTTCCTACCTAAGAATAATCACCATCCTTTCTTCCCAGTTGGTCTGCGGGGCTTCCTGATGAGGTGGCTGGAGCACAGAGTACAGCACAAACTCAAGTCACACGAAGATTAAAATACCTCTCTTCCTACACGTTTCCACCTTGGGGCTATTTTTTCCTCCAGAAACACATTCTTAAGCAGCCTTTTGTTTCACTGATGATAGCTCAGGTACTCCAATGGCAGCCTGAATGGCAACCTGAAGGAAACCCAACACTCAGCTAACCTCCATCTCCGGAAGTCTGTGAATTGCCTCTGCCAAGAGCTAGGTGAGTATACTGGAAAATATCACTCTGGTTTTGCCTTATTATATTATTTCCTGCTGTTGGCCACTGTTAGACTGCTGTACCAGACTGGCAACTGTCTGATTCTGGGACATTCTTAAACGTGTGTGCTGTGCTTCTGCTCTCTGGTCTAACCATTTACTGCAAGAGGGAAAGAGTTAAATGCTGTTATCTTTCCTTTTGGTATAATGAGTATCCTTTACCTCTCCATTCTTCACTGGTAAAGTTTCCAGCAATTCTATTCTTCCTCCCAACTTCCATTTGTTATGATTCACTATCTCTCAACATGATTTTCAATAAAAACGACAAAAATACACTTAAAAGAGAACATCAAGTTGGGCTGTTGGATGTGATCCAATGATCAGAAGTGTGCAGACTTTTGGTCATTTCAAAAACAGCCAATTAACAAGCTACAATGACAAGCCAATCAGATACTTTCAGAAACGACATATTTACCCTTTAGTTTGAGGTCCACATTGTGTCGCAGCCAAGGGTAAACACCATAGTTTGTCATATCTTCAGGAATAGGGTTATTATATATCCAACCATCACATGCAAATCTATAGAAGTTCTCACACGGATCTACGGATTGATTTATCTTGCTCAGGATGGCAGCAGCTGTAAAAAAAGACACCACAGATTTTGTGGAACACTTTTTCCTAAGTAGAAAATTACAAAGGGCTACAGTCCAGAAATTATGATTAATGAGAAACAGACAATAACAACAACAACAACAACAACAACAAAAGAAAAAATATCTACAATGAAACTTCTTGAGTGCCGTACAGCAATGATGACTGAATTTAGCACTACAGGAACATGAACTGCTGTAGCCAGACACCTGAAGACAGGCTTTCCTCATTGTTGCCATGATAGAATTAATTGCCTGAGGAATTTAGTAGCAAAACATATTAAGTAGATTGTGATTAGCATTCCAGAAATTATGCACTGTTTACCTTTAGCTGAATAACTGTACAAGAAAACAAATACAGTTCTAATCTACCATACATTGGAAAAGACAATTGTGGTATTTTTAGCTCCATTCTGTGACTGCATCCCCACCAGTTTCTCTTGCAGGCCAAACTGGTAAGAGAGAAATCAGTCTGACAAGCCAGAGACAGTAGCTTTTGAGTACCTAATCATCAAATCATAGAATAGTTCAGTTGGAAGGAACACTTAAAGGTCACCTAGTCCAACCCCTTGCAATGATCAGGGACATCTTCAATTAGATCAGGCTACTCAGAGCCCCATCCCACCTGTCCTTGAACACTTCTAGGAATGGGGTGGCCACAACTTCTCTGGGCAACCTGTGCCAGTGTTTCATCACCCTCATCATAAAAATTTCTTCTGTGTAACTAATTTGAATCTACCCTGTTTTCATTTAAAACCATACAAAGTGCGTGCCAGATCTGGCCCAAAAGCATGTCTGTGCTTAACAACTCACTAGTTTTCTGACTACCAGAAAGGAAGCAAAAAAATACACCTGAAGGTCCAGTCACTCAACATTTTGTTTCCTATTAAAAGAAAGAAATGTAAACCCTATGGGAAACTTTGAGTCAACCTGGTGAGACTAGCATTAGACCAAATTAAAGTATGAATTTTAATTGTACAAAATAAACAGAAATGAAGCAACTTTGACAGTGGCTTTTAAAAAAGTTTGAGGTTGTTGTTCTTTCCCTCTCATTAATTAAGCTTTCTGAGTAAAATGTATAATGGGTGAAAAAATTAAATGGCATAAATATCTCATTAACATACTATAATCATGATATAATTGAGAGGATAAAATTGCTGCTTACCAGCTTCAATGCATTCTGCAGTCAAACAGTACTGTTGCTTCGGATGAAACTTTATAAGACCTTGGCTAACTGCAAAATGGAAAACCATAATGAGATCATTTGCAATGAATTTTGACGATTGCAGCCAAATGTTGTGTACTCAGTCATTCAAATGGCAACGCAACCTCTGGTCCCAATGCATCTGTGTCTACATTGATTTAGAGCACTTAGAATGTATATTAAGTAATATTAATAATTTTCCCTTCCTGGGCCTACTTTCTCCTTCCTCTCTCTTTGCTCACAGGCAGCACAGAACAAGTGTGTATCCCAAAGTTTGCATAGTGCCTGGAGCAGCATCACTTCAGCCCTACTCACTGAGAGTGAACACCACACAATACAACAATCATTGTTGTTATCCTCCTCCAGAGACCCTAGAAACACAAGAGTCATTGAATGGTTTGGGTTGGAAGGGACCTTAAAGGTCCTGTAGTTCCAACCCCCCTGCCATGGGGCAGAGCCACCTTCCACTAGACAAAGTTGCACCTTTTGCAGCTGGCTATGCAACACAGAGCTCACTGGCCACCCTCTGCAGGGCTTCCACAGCTCCTCCAAGCTGTGGGGCTCACACTGCCCTGCAGCAGCTCTGCACTGCCCAGCACAACCCAGCACCGATGGGAGGTGTTCAGGGTCTCCTTATTCCAGCCTGGAATAAAGCAGATAGTAATGGGCACAAGGATAGTCATGGTTTGTAAAGCACAGCCCAGTTTCTGTCTGAACAGTCTCCCAAAAGTACTGTAATAGCATTTGCTTCCAAAAACCTTGCCGAGAAGAACTGTGAAATTGTCAGTTAATTTTGCTCATCTTTTAAAAATGTGTGTTACAACTGCCACTGAAACTTAAGCACAGGAATTGCTAATCTCAGACACTGCTGTCAGGCAGCAAATATGCAGATAATTGATACTTGGGATTAGGAAGGGAGAATCTCAAGGGGTAGGTGAAATAGGACTCACTAGGTGTGCTCAGTAGACACAAAGAAATGTCTCATTATATCCATTATCTTGATAACAGTCCATGGCAAAAACAAAAAAGCAAAAAACGCCAAACAAAAAAAAAAACAACAGTGGAATATATTATGGTTCTGTAACTTTAGCAGTGCTGACAGTTATAGAGCAATTTCTGCTGTAGTTATATATTGTTCAAAAGTGACAGGAAAATGTGAAATGGTATTTCAGCCCAGAAAAATTTTATTATAAAAAACCCTAAAGCTAGAATTGAATATAAAGCTGTTTCACCTCTTCCAACCTCACAGCTTTAATGACAGAAATGGTTGGATTTCAATCAAACTTTCTTAGAAGCTTAGAAAGTAAAACTATTCTGGACAGCTTTACCAAAGCTTGCACTGGCTCAGTGAAACACAATACCTTAACCACCTTTGTAAATTAGCCAAGAAATACACAAGATTTTGAGGCATACAAACATTGTAGATGGAATATCGAAGAACAGTAAAAAATAGAGAAATTGAGATCTCCAGAACATGATTTTGAGACATTACAAATAATGAACTACAAATAATGTCCCTATTAGCTAAGTGTTGCACTCCACTCAACTCACTGTTTTCCTCACTCTGAATTTAGCCTTCTAGAATCCATCCAGGTCTTGAAAGTTTGCTAGACATTTTGTCTTAACAAAGCAGAGAAAGGAGGGGAAATCCCAGACCTCGTTTCATTCTTAATCTGAAGCAGCCCTTATGGATTCGATACTTATAAACAAAAGCAAAATACCATTTCAGCTGATTTTGTTCCACTTACAACTTTACCACTAGAACAAATTTAAAAAAAAATCTTTGGCAGTAACATTTCCCTTTTAATTATCAGCTAATTTTGATTGAAAAAACTTTGCCTGGTTTTATTCTCTTGTCTTTTTATTGCTAAGAGAATTAAACATTACATTATTACCTATAGTTTTGGTTATAACTCTCAGTGAGCCATCTTCTTGCTTTATAAGCCTGTTTCCAGATTCTTAAGCAAATACAACAGTATTTAGTTTCAAAAAAAATCTAAAAGAGGAAAAGGCATACAAACGTGCAGACACAAATAAAGTGAATAATCCCATAATCTGAGAAGCCCAAAGGGCTACCGAGTCAGGAAGAGAGGCTATCAAATTGAACTCCAAAGCTGCCTGACTTCTCACCCAAGGGAACTAAAGAGTGATTGTCTTCCCTTTGCTCTGGCCCCAGTTTCCAAGGAGGTGGCTCCTCCCTGCCATAGCCCACACCACTGACAAGAGCACAGCAGGCAGGACCCTCGGGATGCCAAGTGATTCCCCTGGTAGCTCCCCACTGAAATCACAGTGAAGTCACAGCCCATATGAGCAAGGAACAGTAAATAAAAATAATGATTCTCCCATATTCTTCTTAGAGATGTAGGAACTCTGAGAAGAAGAAACAAGAGAAGCAGGAGAATGCTATGTTTCACTCCTCAGGTTGGAAAATTGATTTCAGGTGTACCAGAAACAGCAAGTTTTGAAGACTAAGTGAGAACTGAAGAAAAAAGAACATCTTGAGGTGCCTGAAATGACAAGAAATAATGATCTCCTTTTCTTCAATCTAATAAAACTAAAAAAGAGTTAAACTTACAAACAAAACACAGTGTCACAATGAAACATGGGAACACCTAATTGATAAAATGTTAGACCAAAACAATTTAACTTTTTTTCCTTTATTCTTTTTGGTTGAAAATTTCAGACAATTTCCAAAAAAGTACTAAAAACATTTTGGTTGACCCAAGGCCAGCATTTTTATTTTCTTAGCAGATATGCCAATGAAAATTTTGACACTGAATCCCTGGCTATGGAACACACCACAGCTCACTTGGAAAGCTGATTGTAAGAATTAATATATTTGCTTGGATTTTCACACTTAGTCTGTGGATAAAGCACTTATCTGAGAAGCTATGGTGGTAAATGTCTATTGCTTTTTAAAAGCAATAAAAGAACAATCTAGTGCAAAGAAAAAGAAATAAGGTCTCTCCATTATTACTCCCTGGTGTTTATGTTGCAGTCTCAAAGTGGAAAATATTTTGGGGTTTTTTTTTTCCATCTAGAAAAAGTATTTTGCACTAAGTTGAAGATTCAATCCTGCTCACATTTATAAAGAGTTTAGTTAATTGACTGGGATCACTCACACAGAAGTCACTTGCATGCAAATGTTGCAGAATTTGCTCTAGAGCAGACAAACATCAACCAAGTGTGAGCCTGGAGCATTAAGTATTCTATGGAAAATTTGGCTTCATCCTCTGTGTTGTGATTATAAACGAAGGAGACCGTTCAAACAAGATCATAAAGGAATGGAGGGAAGCAAAAGATACACTTAGAGGCAAGGTTTCCTCCAGCCTAGGGGAATCTGTGTTGGTCTAAAGAAATGACATGTTGGGCTGAATTAGTCCAAAAGAAGATCCATCTCTGCAAGTTCTTACAGGATAAAACACTTCTTCTTCTTTGCTTGGAGTTTCTGGGTACATTTATACTTCTTCATATCATTTCAGAAGTGTAGGCATATGCTTTCATTTGATATTGCAACAAAACCAATCTACATTTTCCAAATCCAGGAGAGGAAAAACTAATTCCTTCTCTATAGCCTCTAGTTACAGCTTATAAATCTGATCAAAACATTTTAATTTCATCCCAGATGCACTCTTTATGATTTTTGCAAAGGCAGCTTTGCAATTCATCATAGAAGAACAGAAAGATCTAAAAAATGTGCACACATATGTACTATTTGAAGCTTTCTACAGGAATTTTAGTCAAGCCCTAAATGAAAACCAAATGTAGGAAAACCCAAAAGATTCCATAAAATGTGTGCACTACAGATTAAATTTCAGGAAACAGAGAATATTGCTCCACATTGGCCACAACCTGTGAATTCATAATCAGCATTACTGATATGCATAATCTTACCCATTTCTGGTCATTCTGTCAAAGAACCCAATTCTGGCTAGAATACAAATTCAGCATTCAGAAAGTTACATGAGCTCACATCGCATCTTCCAGCTCTGGCATTCCCACAAGAAGAACTCCTTTCCTGACACATATCCCCTTCAGGATAGACAATAAAAAATGGGGGAAGAGGAGATCAAGATTTTCCCCAAAACATGTTGTGAAGCACAGACACTGGCACCAGGCAGACAAGCTGGGGAGGGTTGGGTTCAGGTTAGTTCCAACATTTTCACTTACCCAAGAAAAGCGCGGTGCCAAGCACGACAGTGCTACTCACAAAGACACCGAGGGCGATCCGTGTGGCTTTGCTGGCTCCTCTTCTGGCCTCTGGTGCCGTCTCTCCTTCCATCAGGATAGCTTGGGGTGTGTTTGCTGTCGCAGAAGTCTGGTTTTCCCCTGCTGCTGTGGTGTCAGTGTTTCAACTGTTCGCAAAATGTGCCCATGAGCTCTCCTCCTCCTCCTCCTCCTCTCTCCTATTTAAAACTCCATGTTTCTGTCATGAACCATTTCCTAGGCACTTCCTGCTCTCTCCTTCTCAAAGGAAAATCACGTGTAAAATTGTAGCTGTCTCCTATGTTTTCCTCTCACCAGGAGAAGGGAAGGCAAGCGGTGACCACTGTACGTACAGCCCTCGCTGCCTGGAGAGCCTCTGAGCCAATTGCTCAGCAGTCCCCCTTATCAGGGGTTCTGAACATGAGGATTTCACAATGTCGCTGAACAGATGTTTTAGCTATTGAAACATAAAGCTGTAAACCCTTTACAATCAAAGCAGGACTGCTGACAACTTCTACCAACACAAGACTGATGGAAGGTTTTCTTTTTTTTTCCTCCTTGCACTTATTTAGAGAAGACTAATTATCTGCTGACTAAAGTTTTCTCCTTTTATACCATTCCCACTGCATGATTTGGCTTCACCAGAAGAGGTACCCACTCAGCAGACAAATCCCTCTTTAAAGTTTCCTAAGAACTCTTAGAATATCATGTAGCATTTTATTTTGGGAATTTGGTATGTGACACTGTGTGCCAAAAATCACAGTCATGCAGCACAAAGCAATAATCAGCACAACCTACAGAACAGTCCTGCTCTAAAAGCTAGATATGTTTTTTCCAGGCAAGATATTTCAGTCTTTGCTGATGCACAATACATTTTAAGAGACGATCCTACGCTTCCAAGTCAAGTACTACTATAAGCTTAGTGGAAACGTATCTCTTTGGCACTTTAGGTTAGTGGGGAATAAAAATAACATTTATTGATTTATATGGGTTTCTCAGTGTCTGATGTACTCTTGATAATCCTTTCTCCATGTGGCAAATTTTCCCAGTTCAATCAAGTAGTCATTTCAGGGTGAATTCTCTGAGCTGAGTGTGACAGAGGAGCTCTGAGGAGCTCTTGCTTTCTCCAGAGCTGGACTATTATGAAAAGTATAAGGATCCAGGGAGAGGCAGCATTATGCTCATGCTCTCAATAACAATTTATGTGTCTGAGTTACTTTTTTGTGGACTTACAAGTTCTTATCTCAGCCCCCAACCATCCTGATAAAATGCTGCACAAGCAGAGAGAAGAAAGACATATGTACGTCACAAAATGTGCGTGATGGCAGTTATCAGTTTGCAGACTGAATGTTTTTTCCACGTGAGTATCTGTACAGAAGTTGTCCTAGATGTCACATGGATACAAAGGGAAAGCCCACTCTATCTAGAAGACACAGAGTCTGAAGATCCTGAAATCCGCACTCCTCAATCCCCTCTACGGCCTGGCTGGTGTCCTGCAAACAAAACTCCCTGAGCTCTTATTCCTGTCCCTCTTTACCAGGAAGCTCCAGGAGGACATTCTCATCTCTGCTTGGTGCAAAACAGGAAAGAAGTATTTGTTTCTTTTCACTTGCCCACTTGTCCCACATATAATCCATAGTTTTTGACATCCATCAGCAGAGGAAGGAGAGGGAAATGATGCCATGGAACCAGGAGGACCACATACCTCCCAGTACAAAAGTTCCCACTTACACATGAATGACTCCCTGGATATGAGTAGATCTCTGATTATAGACAATACCCAGTACAAGACTGTTACCAGCACAGGTTTGAGAAGGTATTTAAGCAATGTTGGTGCAACTGAGTCTTCGTATCAGAAGTCACTATGAGTCTCAAAGGGGCTGCCAAAAGGGCAGGGTGTTGACGGAGAAAATGCGGGGACATGGTGTGATCTCAACACTTAATCCACAGTGCCCACAATCTGAATGTTGAGTACAACTCAAAAGGACCCTTTGACAAGAATTTGCTATTGTCTGCCTGATGGTTTTCCTTTTGTGTCAGTTCTGAACCCCTGACAGTACAAATGCTGAACAGTTATTAGATCTGTGCATACTGACCATCAGCTTGATATCCCCCCAACCAACATTGCATTATCACATCCCTACTCAATTCCCCCATACTTTATAACTTTCAAGTTTTGCCCCCTTGTACTGACTATGATGTTCTATCAGTGTTTCACTAACATGATTTTGCTTTCAAGGCATGATCTCTTTCTAGGACGACATCAGGCCAGAAACCAAAACCAGTTTTCAACAGCACAAAGCAGCATCCAGTTATTTCTCTTCGGAAATACAGTTTGGGGGAAGAGGGAAAGAAGAGATAGGGAAGCAGATAAGAGGGAGAGGCTGGACAATTCAGTCCCCTCTCCCAAATACCAAAATGAGAAGGTGAGGACTATGGGAACATGGAGCTATACCAACAAAAACCAGGAAGCTCCAATGACAGGACTCCTCTGGAGAGTCAGCCCCATGCAGCACAAGATCTTTGTGACAAGAAAAATCACAAAGCAGCTGTCAGCAACACTTTTCTTGTGTTTGGCTTATTTACACTGGGGCATAGCATGAATGTCTAGCATAAGTGTCCTTCCCTCTGGCTGTAGAGCCTGGCTGTAGTCAGCAACCCATCTTGGTTTCTCCAACATGTACAGAACTACAGAATTAGGGCTAAACCATAAACAGCTGCAGGCAACAGCTGCAGAGGTCCATTTCTGGCAGGATTTGAAAAGGTGCATGGAACACATGCAAATAAGTTCCTGAGCCTGCTGATCTGTAACAGAAGTCTGTGGAATTTAATACAGGTTTCTAATGAGTGTGCTAGGATTTGGTTTCCTCGCTCATCCTAAGTCCAGCAGCTCTTTGGCAGGTACAGGATACATGGCCACGCTTGCTGCTGGAACTGCTAACAGCACTCCTGGCCATTGCAGCCCAGTGAGGCACTTAATGAGGCTGTGCAAAGACTGCGCTAAGCATTCATAAAACATTGAATAGGCAGAGGGGGAAAAAAGTAATAACTAAATGCTACATGCTCTAAATCACTCTTCATTCGCTCAGATTTGCCTCTGACCAAGATCCCAGTCAAACAATGGGATCACTACGGTTCTTATAACAAAGCCAGGACAATGCACAATCAACTTCACCCAAAGCCATATGCCAGAGTTGGCAAACCCTACAGAACATGCTCTGGGCTGAACCACAGCAAGAGTGTCCCAGTTTCTAGAAAAGGTCTGTCTATATATATAAGCATGCATGCACATGAACGTACACACAAATACACACATGTATTATCTTGCTGTTTCACAAGCAGACACAATTCTCACTTCTATCCATTATGCCAGAGTCAGACAAGAGCACTTGATCAGAGGTGAAATCAATAGTACTGTGAGCTTCTCCTCACATAGCTTGGTTCAAAAGAAGTTCCCATTTATTGAGGTTTGATTATTCAATAGACACACAAAATCACACATTTTGCCTAGTTTTCACTGTAACAGTCAAAACCAGTTACACAGGTGTTGCTGAACATCTGGAACAGCAAAACTGCTTAAGGTCAGCACATGTTCAGCCTAAGCTTGCTGAAAGAACCTGCCTGCAAAGACCCTGAGGCTAATTGGTGGGTTACCTTAGTGCAAGTAGAGCTTAACAGAAGCAGTCCACAATCACAGCATCACAGCTTTGGTGATGACTTATTGAGCATTTTTAGCTCATGGTAAAAGAAAGAACACAGCCACTATCACACTGATGGAAGCAGAGCCACCAGATACAGCTTGAGTGGTTTCCTCAGAGAACAGAGGTATATGCCAGCTTCATTGAAAGAGACTAATTAGTGTGGGACAAAGTAAAGGCTGTATTCCATTCCATTTCCAGGGTTCCACCACGGGGCCTTGAAGTGTTTTTTTCCAAACTATGCAGATGTTGGAGCCAGAATTGGTCAACTGGGCTTTATGTACACAAAATGTGCTTGAGAAAAGCCCAACATGTTGCATTTGAAGACAGCTTGACCAGTTGTCATCAGATCTCTGAATCTTATAAATTACACTCTCTTGGCTGCAAAAGCCCCCAAATTTCTGTGCTGAAGCCAACAGCAACCACACTCTGGCACAACTTCGTGTCCTTTATTCATGTGACAGACACAGCTGGAAATAAATGACTCCATTGTTTTCCACTGGTACAGCCACATCACAGAAGGCCTCAGTGCATCTATGAGAATGTGGGTCATTAATTAGGAGTCAATACTGAGCCAACAGGATTTGCAGGACTCCAAACACTGCTGGTGGCAAGCTTTTCAACTAACTATGACTGCAACTGTGGGAAGAACACCCTGCAAAGCAGAAAACTCTGTTCTCTAACACTTAACTCCCCAAATCAATTTTTTTTTTTTTTCAATTCCAAGTAGGCTAGGCTATTCTCATTACTCCAAGAAAAATTTGTCCCTGCTGCTGGAAACATTGCATTCTCTGACCAAAAGGTGCATATATCTAACCTAAACAACTGACTATGAAAACCAACATCTGGGATTATTAAAGTTAAGCCACTCCAGTCTGCAAACTGTTTTAGAGCTGCTTTTGAAAAAGCACTTTAATGAAACAATGCATATGTTCTCAAGCAGAAAGAACTGCTTTAGGTCTTCTGGCAATTTTTCTTCAAGAAGCACATTAAATTATAGCTAAACAAAACACAACTTCACCTAAAGACCACATTCACACTACAACAAGGGTGTGTTTACATATATACATCACATGTGCATACTTCTCATCTGTCATCCCCCTGTACAGATTAAACAAGCATGCATGCTGACATGCACTGTAGAAAAGCATGTTACTTGGGGATTAAGAAATTTATAAGATACCCTGGGGTAAGTCAGAGCAAATTTTTGGTTTTTTTTTATATGATCTAACTGTGAATGCAGGCTGAAAAGGCATTTAAAAAGGCATTGCTGGGAAACGTCACTTTTTCAATGGCCATGGTCATAGGTGCAGGGATGTAGACAGGACACAACTGTCTGTTGTTTCCTTCAAATATTGCATCAGGCCACCAGAGCCTTACCCACTTATTTTGCTTTGTCCAGATGTTCACTCACAGCTGTTAAAGACTATTTATATGAACAGTGGAAGCAAGGAAGCTTGGTTAGCAGCGAGTTTGTGTCGCATGGATGAATTTTCAGGTGTGTAATGAGACATACATTCACTGGCATTTTAAATTAAAAGAGGAGACCCACCAGACTTGCATGTGACTGCTTTCAGCATCTACTAGAGATATCCCCTTACTGTGACCTCCTGTCTCTCAGAGAAGCATGACTGCCTCTGCAAAAGCAATGGCTCCTTCCTGCTCTCACAGTTGGATCTTCAGCAGCACAAATCTGTCTTTGACAGCAGCAGAGCTCAGAGACAGCTGGAGCCAAGAGAGCAAAGGTGCCACTGAACAGTAACAGGCACTCTGTCACTGCTATCTCCTCACTTGCTTGTGCTAACTTCTGTAGAAAACCAGAAAAGGTGGAGCAAA